GAAGCAGCGGCACCAAACTGGCCTCCTTCTGTTGCCTGCAAGCGTTATCCTATGAGTAGAAACACCGCGTCTGATTTAGCCACACCCACCTGAGCTTGAGCAGGCGATCCACCAGGTCCATGGGCCGGTTATCCGGATTGACGAACAGATCCAAATCCACACTTCTTACGGCATGACTGCTGCTTGTGTCGAATTTCGCCGGTCCCTCGTGCGCCACCTTGTTGAATTCCGCCGAGAAGTAGGACGCCAGTCTCCTGGGTGGCAGTGCGCAGGAAATCCTCGATCGCAGCATCGTCAATTATCAGTTTTAATTCATAAAGTGTTATAACCAGCCGATTAACAAATAACATGCAGCTGGCCGAAGAGCAACAAAATCTCTAGCGCGTTCGCGAATTAATACCGCAGATGGCGGTATTTTTGTTTGTATTGGGGGTATTTCAACCTATATATGCTGATTTCCATGGGAACGATGGAATTGAAAAAGGTCTTGGAGAATCGAAATAAAATAATTAATATGTATTGAAAATTGAAATACTAAAATTAAAGTGACAAAACCAAACCATTTAGAAGTGGAAAAGTACGTTATGTAAATGTTTAAAAAGCTTAAATATATTTGTATTTTAAGATATTTACATCTAAAAGGTAAAAAAGGAAGTATAGAACAAATTCAAAAGTCGGTGTTTAAAATACGGAAATCACTTATGAATTGCAATGTGGTGGGTCCTGTTGCAGATATAAATAGGCACATACGATTTCAATAAACTACAATTGAATTTGATCTTGTTAATTATATCTGAGAGGTATTCACCATCAATCCCTGCGGTGGGCATTGCACAACAATTGCTTTATTGAGCGTACCGAATCGCCACCATCAACTGATTACTCGCTTTAATGCCGATCCAATCCTCTCCCGCCCGATAATTGGATGACAATTTACCCTGAAGGGCGTGAGGTTCGCTACTTGTAGATGGTGACCCTTCAACCCCCAGTAAAGTCCTTGTTTTCCTGCCCACAGGCTTAGCCGGCTGAGCCCTCAAAAGGGTGCTAAGCCAGATGTCCCAGAGGATGTGACTTCGGGTCCGGGGAAAACAAGCAAAGTGGTACACAGATCTTATTTATTTAACGCAATTCGCTCCAAGTAGTCGGTATAAATAATATCAAAATAACTTCGTTCATCAAAAGTATACTAATATTTACATAGATATTAGTGGATTCTAGATTTGATCGTATAAGCATTTCATTTGACGGGCATGGGCATTCTGGGGTCCCTTGAGAGATGGGCCCAGGTATTTCGATCCTGCCGCAGGATTCTTTCGGCCATCCATTTTGCTGGACTTGTCCTTCATTATGTAAATGGCATGCCTCTCCTGCTTGCGAAACTTTGCTCTTCGGTTCTGGAACCACACCTGAAATACAGGCAATTGGTTTTATAAAGTTGATTTCTGGAACGTTTTCAGTCCTTTAACCAGATATGATTAATTATTTTTCTGTGCTTCGATTGTAAGCCTAGAAAGGATAGCGAGAGAAAGGACCCCATACCTATAATATTGGAACCTATCAACCATAGTTTTTTCGGAACATATTAAATAGTTACTCCATGTTTCGAATGTAATGTGTATTTCTTCATAAATATCCTATACTACCCATCTACTTTACTTTACAACCAATTCATGGGTTTTGCTCACCTGAACTCGGGCTTCCGTCAAGTGGAGTTTTGATGCGATCTCTTCCCTGGTGTAGATGTCTGGGTAGTGGGTTTCCAGGAAGATCTTCTCCAGCTCGTTCAGCTGGTTGGACGTGAAAGTGGTACGAATCCGCCTCTGTTTTGATTTGTCGGTCAGGCTCAAACCGTCGTCTCCGAAGGACTTCAAATGGAAGTCTGTGGCATGGTGAAGATTCCCAGAGGGTTCGAGATTACGGGTTTATAGTCAAGACTGGTTCGATGGAGGTGCCTTGGACGCAGGTGGGGCCATAGCTACTGAACTTACCCGAGTTGTAGGAGCCAATGTTGTGGGTGCCCGGGTAAAATTCTGAGACTGTGGTGATTTTGGAAAACAGTAAGCTCGACTCCTGGTTGAGGGAACCGCGGATCGCAGTCTCGTTGGCGCACAGCTTGTAGCTGGAGTCAATCATGAGGTTGTAGTGATTCATGTGATTGGCCACGGACAGCCCTCCATTGGCGCTATTGTTATAGAACTCGGAGTTGGCGGTGTACAAACAATCCTTGTCGAAGTTCGCCTTGTTGAGCAGTGAAAATTCCATCGCATCTGCAGGTAAATTCACACACGGCACTCGATTGAAATTTTACAGCCCGCTAATGAGTCATTCGGCCATAAAACACATAGTTATAGTAGCTCCGCGGCAGCACACACTTTTTAACTGCCCTTGAATAAATAAGCTTCGATTACGATTGTATCAACTACAGGACATTCACGTTGGCCGAACAAGGATGCTGCACTTGTCTCGGGAGAACGGGACGGAAAATTTCATTCGTTTCCGCGTTTGGAGGCGGTGCTAACGAGCTCCACTCGACATAGGGGTGGAAATGCCACTTTCCGGCGCGTGTCGTGCACTGCGCGAAAATGCTCTGCGCTCTCCAAATTTACTTGTGCAAATTGCCCAAAGAGTGCAGTTACTTTTGTCCATTTCATGGTGGCATCGCTGATTCGGTCCTGATTCATCACATCATCACTCAGAAATGCTGTTTCCACAGGATATTTCCTCAAAATCATTTCATTTTACAAGCCGCCTCTTAGAGAAGTTTTCTTCGAGTGCACCAATTTTCACAGGCCTCAAAAAGCAACACTCAGAAGATTAAATTGGCTTATCGGGCAACCACGAAGCTGGAATGTCCTCTCTGTGCAATTAAGGGAAATGGGTCTGTAGAATATTAATTAAATCAAGTAAAATGAAAATCTTTCGTTGAAAGTACTAAACGTAGTAGAAACTCTTAAGGATACACAGCCGATGTAACGTAAGTTGTGCATTTAATTGGAACTCGAAATCTGAACAGGAAAGGGTATCTGGGAGTCTGGCTTCAGGAGTACAGCTGCTCACCAACTTGATAAAACAAATGGTGTTGTACCAAACACAATGGATAACAGACACCTTACTATCTTTCTTGTTTATAACATTGGGCTGATTGAAACATTGTTTAAAGGTGCTGGCAGGATACAACCCCGGTTTTCGGAAACAATTATTTGCTCTGCGGATTATTTCGATTAGTTAATTCCTGTTAATCAGAGTAACGCCTAATTTTTATTTACTCTGCGCTGAACTTGTTTTTCGGACACCCTAATGCTGAATTGTGAATCAGGAGGCGTTTCCATGTGTTGTTAGTCATGTTGTTCTAATCTTTTCAAACCATTTTTAAATACAACTTGTTCCATTTGGCTGCATAATACTTACAATACTTAGAATAGACAAATGTACCTCTTTCAAGTTGAAAATGGTCTAAATAGCTCTTGTGGATTTTATTTACACATTTGCATGGTAGCGTGAAGCCTTTTCTTTTCTTAATCAACGAGTTGGAACGAGTAAGTCTTTGGAAAAACAAAGCCACATACTCAAACTTACACTCGTGCAAAAAGAAACTGCTTCATAATAACCATTACTTAAATTGCAAGTCTATGTAAATCAAAATCATAATAATAAGCCATTGCGACTTTTTCTTGTACCCAACATGAAAGTCTTGGAATAAATGACTGTGTTACATTGTAATTTGAACATTTGTGTTTTTATGCCTACGAAGAATGCGATGGAGTAACTTTTATATCTCCACCGAAATAATAGGAATATGATGATTAATTTCCAATGTAGCTGTGGAATAATAATAATATCAAACCCCGGGTATAAACAACTGATGATTACAAGTGCGTGGCTCATTCCACATAAAATAAATGTTATACTAACCACATGTTGGAGGTGATCGACCCGAACGGAACCCAGCTGGAATGTGTGCTTAACCCGATCCCAAACCCACCCCGAAGATCCTGAAAGATATTTATTTATAAAGTCTCAAGAGAGAAAGCTAGTTTAAGTGGATTCCAACCCACAAGAAAACGGGCCTGGATTTTGTGCGAGTTGTGCATACGGGCCTAGAACTATTTGGATGCCTATCAGGTTTTCTCGAGTCAGTTTTCAGAAAAACTACTATTGTTAGATTAGAAAAAGTAAAGAAAAAAGGGTTTAGCATGGGTGTGTTGTATCTACTACTAGGTTGGTATAGTGCAGGCTTTTTCTTTTGCTAATCACCGAGTTGGAACGAGTACCTAGCTAAGTCTTTACAAAACCTCAAGCACAGCGCCAATGGATATACTTAAGCCCAAGAGAAACTGAACGGGTAATACCCTAACATTTGATATAGTTTTACCAAGCACTTCAGAGCAGCATTATAAAAGACTTGTGTTTCGACTTAAATATGGTTTATGCCGGAATTTGTATAGAAGTAAAGGAATGTTAATGATCCCTATTGCTATGGAGACAGCATATTATTAAGGCCAAACGTTACAACAGCCCCTAACTCGGCCGGGAAGAAAAGGTCCTTAAGGACTGGGTTCAACACCCCCCATCCGCAGTGGCACGTCCTTTAACGGTCACAGAACTGGCCCCTGACTATCCCTTGTTGTAGGAGTGGGCCTCAGCTGGGCGTCAACTGGTTTTCGAATAGTCAACGGCTGCTAGGAGCAGCGGAGAGTATCGAAGCGGAAAGGTTCTCCTACCCCCACACATGCAGGGCGATGGCGATTTGGTGGTGCCTGGCCAGCTGCGGAGCGATCTCCCCACATGTCCATGCATTGACTGTGCTCCGAGAGTCGTGCACAAGTCAAGTAGTCAAGTGGCACGGGCTACGACTATGGCTAGGGCCATAGCTATGGGAGAAGGAGGATCGTGTGCCGGAGAGGAAGTGCCGGCATTATCTCGGCTAAATTCAAATTCGTTTGGTTCCGCTGCGTGGTTTTGGCCAAGAGCACTCGTTTCTCGTTTCTCGGTTTTCTGTTTTCGGTTTTCGGTTCTCTAGTAGCCAAGAGCATTCAGTTGCTATAGTTGTACCATGCCGAGCGGACCACTGAGTTAGGATCGGTTGAGAAGTTTGGTATACGAGGAAGAGGAAGTGTAGATAGTGACCGTCATGGATCCCCTGCTTATTGTCATTCTGGCCATCGGACTACTCCACAGAGGTACTACCAGATCCTGTGGCCATCCAGCCATTATTCCACATGGGAAACGACATATTTAAATTAAGAAATGAAATCATTCAGAAGGCGCATATAAACGAATACGAATGCGGCGAGTGTACAGCGCGCAAACCTTGAGAAAAATAATGACAAATCGGATACCTATAAATACGAATAAATACGAATATCCACATTCGGTTTTGAGTTAACATGTGCTAAAACGGAATATAAACAACTGGCCACCGTGAACTTCGAATATCCTTTGGGTTTGCGGATAAAAACGGGTTCAAGGATACTAAGTGTATTTAATCGTGATTGAAAAATGTAATAGTGGTTTCCATGTGGAAAGTGATTTTGAAGTCTAAGCAAAAGATCTTAAGTGGAAACCAAAAGTTTCCAGCGAAACGAGCTCAATAAAATGGGACAAAGTTTTCAGAATTTTGGCACACATGACAAACAACCGAATGAGAAATGTTCAATTTTCAAGCTTTTTGTTTGTTATTAGTGTCTATTTTTAAACGAAACAGGCATCCGTTTCCGAAACAGCATCGCGTTTTCGCTTTTCGTAAATATACGACATTCGCCAAATTATATAGATTTGTATACAAGCGCTGAAAAATGTGTTTTGGATTTGCCAGTGGCAAATTCCAAATAATGTTGTGTGCTCTGTAATTTCAAGAGCTTGTTTAGCCAAAAGCTTTCGTTTCTGAATACCACATTCTTATAAGTATGTTCGCCCTTGTTCAGATGTGCTCTGCTATCCCACAAGGGTCGAGTCCGAGGATAAGATTATAGTTCTCCAAAACGAGGAGATGGAGCCCACGATCCTGGACTGTGACTACGAGGTGGAGGAGAACCCGAAGTTCATCACCGTCAAGTGGTACAGAGACGACAAGTCCATGTATCAGTGGATCTTTGGAACACCTCCATATGCCATCGTGAGTGCCCCCACCGAAATAATGGGTTTGCGATGCTAACCGCTTACCTTGACAGCCCGAGTTCAAGAACGAAATCGACAGCACCTATGAGAGCTCCACGGAGCCGAGCAAGCAGTACAGCTCGCTGGCCCTTATCAACCCCACGATCAGCACCACTGGCGACTACAAGTGCGTGGTGCAGACCCCGGTGCATATCTTATCCATCCACCAGAGGGTTCAGGTCATAGATCTGAGGAACTACACCCTGGAGCTGTCCCACAAGACGATCCACAACGAGACGCAGCTGAACTGCACCGTGACGAATGTGTATCCCCGACCCACCATCACGATCATGTAAGGATGAGCGCCCAGCTTAGCCCCGCCTTGTTTACTCATCCTAACATGTTACAGATCCAACGACATGGACGTTGTGAAGCGGGAGCCCATGGTGTATGAGGACGAGGAGGGATACTTCGATGGCAGCGCGGTGGTGGCGGCCTATGACACCGACGATGATCCCGACGCCTACCAGTGCGTGGTGTCCTTTGAGGGATACGGGAAGAACTTGACCACTGTGGCCACATCCGCGTCGTCGGGGGTGGGCCACCTCGACTTCAGCCTGTGGCTGTTTTGTTTTCTGTACTACCTGCTCTCCAAGCTGAAGGTCTTAACCTAAATAAAAACGTTGTTATTTATTGTTACTAAATTTATGTTTATTGAATTCTGTTTGCCATTCAACTGCCTTTTCTACGCCCCTTTGGCTTAGTTAACCATTTTGTAAATAAATACGAATACTTCACAAAACCAACTACGTTAGTTAACTCTTAAGGTTGCTCTGGAAATGGATGCCATCCTGAGGGGCTTCTAGATTTTAAATCTACAACTGCCCTTGTCGGCTTATAGCTATTACATTTTGTAAATTAACTCGGTTTGAACTCGAACTCCATGCAAACAAATGAAAAGATGGGCTGCATTTCGGAAATGTGGAATATTTCTGTTTATTGATATGTGGGGCTGGAGTCCAGCAGCAGATTGGAACAGCCGTTCAGATAGGCCTTGTGCAGCTTGTTGGCGAACTCCTTATCGTTCTGGATAAGGTAAGTGAAGGCCTGAACGAACTGCGTCGAATTAAGCTGTGGTTCCGGATTGCCGTTGTTGGGCGCGTCGAACATGGTGGGCGGCATGAGTGCCGGCCCGGGCTTGTCTCCAGCCAGCAGTCTCCGTAAACACTTGCCGGCATCGTCGTTGGCCATCAGAGCCGACGAGGACGGTGCACCTGTCGGAGATTGAGCCGTGGCGTAGCTCTTGCCGACCTTCAGGTCGCTCAGAAGTTGAATGTTCAGCTGCTGGGTCTTCTGGAAGGGCGACAGCCGGCTCTCATGGTTGTCCCTGACCGCCGGGGGCAACAGATCCTCGCCAGGCGTGGCCGCCCGTTGCTGTTTCTCCAGTTGGTCCACGGAAAGCGGCTGGACGCGGTGGAACAACGACTCTGCCGTGGCCTGCTTGGCCGATTCGAAGAACTTCAACACATTGCCAGCCGTTACGTTCTCCGCCGATGGCGTCTTCGGCTGCCCGCCGCTCACCTGGGCATTGTAGTCCTTCTGGGCCTTGGTTAGCATGTTGAATATGCTGGCCGGCTGGTTGCTGACCTGCTTTGGCTGCTGGGGCGCGGAGACGTGGCGCTGGGCCTGGCCATTCGTTCCCTGATCCTTGGACTTAAGCAGCCCGTTCACCAAGCCGCTGATGCGGTCGCACTCCTCGCTGTTGTAGAACCAGAAGCCCCGGATGCGGGAACGCTCGTTGCGGTAGAGCAGGAACGGCGGCTGCGACTGCAGTTCCAGGCTGCCGGTGATAGGCTCCACGAAGGATGTGGTGTTCAGTCGGTTGTTGATGAAGATGCTGTGAAAGGGCTCCGCGTTGCGGTGGTAAATGAAAAAGGCTCCCTCCACATCAGTCTTTTCCCACTCGTTCTGCGCCGAGTTGAACGTGTAGAAGGCGACGTGCGAGGATGAGTCCACGATCTCCTTGGCGTACGGGTCGATCTTCTTGATGGCCGCTAGGTTCATTCGTGTGATGCTCTCGTCGGCCATTGTAAATTGTATGTAATCTTCGTTTTTGGCTGTGCTATTGCGAATTGCAATTATTTGTGAATTTAACGGAGCTCTGGTCACACTTCTCCTTTGATGTTTTCCTGTGTTTAGCAACGACTGTGCTGCGGTCACACCGAGCGGGAATAAACACATCCTTATATCGATAAAAGTTCATGTTTTCTTGACTTATTTTATTAAACAACGCAAATCATAATACATACGGCTATGTTCCCTCAGTTAAGAGCACATTATTCATTTTGAATTAAAGTACTTCTGCTGTACTTTGTACAATTTCTTGATTATGTAGCGCAAAAACAGTATTCTATTTCGATATATCGATATTTCTTAGGCCAGCACTATAAACTGGCGGGAACTCACTGCATTGCAATTTATATTTATTTGAACACAGCTTTTCCATCAAAATGCAAAAGTCTATAACGTAAATTCACTCATTTCCAAATGATAAGTATTGTCAATTTATCTATCCCCCATTTCAGCTCCTTCTTCAAGAAGAAATCCGATGCCACCGACAGCCCTTCGCCGCCGAAGAAAGTTCCCAAGTAAACTGTGCCGCTGTTTTTTTGTTTCATTACTAAATTCCTCGACAATTTATAGGATCGATGCGAAGGCTGAACTCTTAGATGAGCCCCTCATCAAGAGCGAGAGTGCCTCCCCGGAAGCTAAGGCCAATGTAGAACCTATGTCTGTGGATTCCGAGGAGAAGGCAAGTCCAGTGAAGAATGTTAAGAAGGAGCCAAAGGATGTCGAGGACAGAATCACTGACAAGAAGGTCACAACCATAGGTCTTAACTCCACTTCCGCTTCTAAGGAGGATATGGAAAACTACGACCCATCCGCTGATTCCTATCATCCACTCAAGAATGCTTACTGGAAGGACAAAAAGGTGTAAGTAGTGCAGGATATTCTGCCTATAACGCGAATGACTTTAAGGGAAACCTTTTCCAGCACTCCCTACTTGGCACTGGCCCGCACATTTCAAGTAATCGAGGAGACCAAAGGCCGGCTTAAGATGATCGACACGCTGAGCAACTTCTTCTGCTCGGTGATGCTGGTCAGTCCGGAGGATCTGGTGCCCAGCGTGTACCTTAGCATCAACCAACTGGCGCCCGCATATGAGGGACTGGAGCTGGGCGTAGCCGAGACCACCTTGATGAAGGCCATTTGCAAGGCCACGGGCCGCAATTTGGCTCACATAAAATCACAGACGCACCTAATCGGGGATCTGGGCATCGTGGCCGAGCAGTCGCGCGTTTCGCAGCGCATGATGTTCCAGCCAGCACCCTTGAATGTGAGAGATGTGTTCCGAAAGCTGCGGGAAATAGCTAAGATATCCGGTCAGTCCAAGATGGACCTGGTGTACAATATGTTTGTGGCCTGTCGATCGTCGGAGGCTCGTTTCTTCATCCGATCTTTGATTGGCAAGCTTAGAATTGGCATTGCCGAGCAGAGTCTGCTCACGGCTCTGGCCATTGGGCTAGTCAAAAAGAACCACATCGATGAGTGCAAGGCTAGCAAGGTGCCAGAAGTCTATAAGGATGAAATAGCAGAGACCACTTTGCTGCTGAAAACTGCATACTGGTAAGACCTAACTCAAGATTTAGCTAATAATTCAGAAGCTAACCAACTTTTGCAGCCAATGTCCCAACTACGACATCATTATTCCGGCCATTCTAAAGTATGATATCAAGGAGCTGCAGGATCGGTGCCCCATGCATCCCGGCATGCCGCTGAGACCCATGCTCGCCCAGCCCACCAAGGGAGTCCATGAGGTATTTGAGAGATTCGGCGGCATGCAAATCACCTGCGAGTGGAAGTACGATGGAGAGCGGGCCCAAATCCATCGAAACGAGAAGGGGGAGATTAGCATATTCTCGCGCAACTCCGAGAACAACACGGCGAAGTATCCGGATTTGATTGCGAGGAGCACTGGCCTGCTCAAGGGCGATGTACAGTCCTACATCATAGACAGTGAAATTGTGGCCTGGGATGTCGAGCGCAAACAAATTCTGCCGTTCCAGGTTCTCAGCACGCGCAAACGGAAGAACGTTGATATCGAGGAAATCAAGGTTCAAGTCTGTGTCTACATATTCGATCTGCTGTACATCAATGGCACCGCTCTGGTGACCAAAAACTTGTCAGAGCGTCGAAAGCTCCTGTTAGAGCATTTCCAAGAGGTCGAGGGCGAGTGGAAGTTCGCCACTGCGCTGGACACCAATGATATCGACGAAGTGCAGCAATTTCTAGAGGAATCTATCAAAGGTTTGCCCTGCCCACCTACCCATTAATTTTTTACTCAAGGTTTAATTCACTAGGGAATTGCGAGGGCCTCATGGTCAAAACGTTGGATGAGGAGGCCACCTATGAGATTGCCAAGCGATCTCGAAATTGGCTAAAATTGAAGAAGGACTACCTATCCAATGTGGGCGACTCACTTGACCTAGTGGTTATTGGCGGCTACAAAGGCAAGGGCCGGCGAACTGGAACCTATGGAGGATTTCTACTTGCCTGCTATGATACCGAGAACGAAGAGTATCAGAGCATATGCAAAATTGGAACAGGCTTCACCGACGAGGATCTGCAAACACATTCCGAGTTCTTGGGCAAGCATGTGACCGACACCGCCAAATCCTACTACAGATACGACCAAAGTCTGGAGCCCGATCACTGGTTTGAACCGGTCCAGGTGTGGGAAGTTAAATGCGCGGATCTGTCGCTCAGCCCGATCCACCGAGCAGCCATAGGCATTGTGGACGGAGAGCGCGGCATTTCCTTGAGATTCCCTCGGTTCATTCGGATACGCGACGACAAGAACAGCGAAAATGCAACGGACGCCAATCAGGTGGCCCACATGTACCAGTCGCAGGATCAGGTTAAAAATAATCAAAAGTCGAGCACACAGATGGAGATGGAGGACGAGTTCTACTGACCGGACTGCTCCACCCACGTGTACAAGATTTATTCAACAATAAAGAATGTTATCGCTATTTGACACTGTTGCTGCTCTCTGAGGATTTGGACAAGCGTCGGTTCTCAAGCTCACACTCCTTGACATCCTTGGGTTTTGATTTGTTTCGCCTATTGGATCGTTTATTCTTTTTGGAAGTCTTCTCCTCCAGCACGCAAACCTCTCCATCCGAACCATCCTTTCCGCCTGCGCTTTGGGGCAGCTCATCTGATGCACGAATGCGGGCTTTAGGCTGGTAAATGGCAATCGAGGGTCGATCCTGTAAGAAACGAATGGGTTAGTAAAATGTCAAAGGGGGATTTTCTAAAACCTACTTTATTGCGAATGCGCCGCTCCTCTGAAGCTCGAAACTGTGCAGCCTTAAGGGCTTCCTCTGCAGTTTCGTGGGAGGACACTCCTGGATCTGTTTTTACGCTGGTTCTCTTTTCCTTGTGTCCTCTGGCAGCCTGTGTAAAAGCCTTGGCAGCTCCTGGAGTCTCGGTGTTTTCAGTTACAGCCTTTATTCTGGATTCCTCCGCAGCCTTAGAAGTAGATGGCAAGTCCGAACTGTCGATTGGTTCTGGCTTGTTTTCTTTCTTTAAGATAACGATGTCCATGGACTTTGCATTTTTGTTCTGCTTGCCGCTGGATGGCTTGCCTTTGTCCTGTTTGTCCTGCTTGCCCTGGCCCTCATCCTTTTTCTTATCCCGCTTGGCTAGCTTGCGCTGTTCGTGCTCCTCCCGACGCCTCTGATCGCGCTCAGTTCGTCGTTTGGAGCGCGACGTCTTGGCATCATTGGCTTGGGATCCAGACGACTGGGGATCTCTGCCGTCCTTTTTGACGTTATTGCCGGCTGGCTTCTTGCTGTCTGCTCCAACGCCTTCGGTCTCCTTAAGCTTGTTCGCATCCGACTGCTCTGCCAGTCGCAACAGCTTCTGCTCCTCGCGCTGCTTCCGCTTCTCCTCGTTCCATTTGCGGGCCTCCTCCCGGCGCTTCTCCTTTCTGTTGGCCAGGTACTGCAGGAGCGGTGTAGACTTGACCTTTTCGTCTGTTCGCCGGTCGATGTTGAACTCGATCTTGACGTCGCCCATGCGGCTCGCCTCCTCACGCTCTTCGGCCTGCCGCTTGATGAACTCCTGGTAGTGGGGCTCGATCTCGATGGTATTCACCTTGCTGTCGTCGTTCCTGGCCTTGTTCTTAAGGAAGCACTGAAAGGGAGCATACTCCACGATGGCCATGTACTCGACGCCTTTGTTGTCTACAAACACGTAGCCGTCGAAGCGGTCCCGGAACTGCAGCACCTCGGTTATGTCCTTGGAGGACATGTCGATGTAGGCGCGACAGGTGGCCTCATGGCCCAGCGACCAGTCCGCCTTGCAGTAGTAGTAGGAGTCGTTCTCCGGCAGAGGACCCACCTGTTCCAGGAACTCCGCCTCCGTCATGGTCGGCGGCAAATGCCGCATCACAATCTGGAATGGGTGGGTGCATTTCGTTGGGCGGATCGTGTGATCTAGACATTCTGAACATTACCTTGATGATCTGGCTGGTCTTCTCCTTCTTGTCCTTGCGCCTGTTTCCCCTCGGCTTCTCCTTGGGCTTTTCCTCGGGCAGAGCTTCAGCCATTTTCTGTTCCTTTTATCCACAAAATCAAAACAAACCCGAAAAGCCAGCAAATGCAAACATGATGTGGAACCAATAGAGATGACACTTTCAACTCGAACTAGTTAAAACTCAGAAGCTCAAAAATGGAACCCATGTTCTATTAGGCAAAAAAAATAGATTTTATCAAAGAAGTTTGTGTATATTTAGTTCGCCAATTATTGGGAAATGTAAAACTGGAAATAGCTGACCATTTCGGGCAATTACAATCAGTGGCCAATAACTAGAACTGGAACTAGTTCTTTGAGAACCACTTTGGAAGAGCGCTTTTTTTAACCGGCACACTGCTACCTGCTCAACTTTTAAACAGATTCGATTGTTTTGGCACCTTTGATGTCAGAATCGGACGAATGCAAGGAAACCCAGTCAAGGTAATGAATAAATAGATGTTCTAGAGCATGACACATTAGTTAGTCACATCGTTATCAGGAATCTGAGCACTACAAAACGATGGTCCCGATACATCCACCAGTGGGATCCTTTCTCAAGTGCTTCGTCTGCGTCTCGAATGAGGGAAGGATTTGGTCAGAAGTAATACAGGGCTTCACCGAGGAGTCGGATGATCTGGAAAAGAACCTTGTTCACCTTCAAACGCTTCTGGAGAAAGCACACGTGAGGCCCAAAGTGATTTGCAAAGGTTGCAAAATGCAGCGATACTGCAGCCTTTCCCATCTCGTGGAGGATCGTCCAGAGCACCAGCCGATCTGTCAGGTCCTGAGGGATCTGCAGAAGTCCATGAAGATCGATCACCCGTTGAAGCTGCTCGGCAAGATCACCGATCGCAGGAAGCTTCAGCTCGTCATTTCGCAGCTAAAGATGGTCCTGCTGGTCAAGTTGGGAAGACCCCTGTACCAGCGGGAGAATCAACTAATCTGCAACCCGGCCGTATGCGATGTATGCTTTAGCACTGGAGCTCTCGAGGACTGTGACGGCTGTGCCGGAGTGGCCTTCTGCTCCGATGCGCACCAACGTCTAGTCAGGGGCTATCACACTCCAAAGGATTGCCAGACTCTGGCTCTGATTGCAACTCCGTTTCGTCAATTGAACTGTCTAGTGAATATCAGGGACTTCTACCGCAGCTGCCCTCTAAAAGAGTCCCATCTAATTAGGGCTTTCACCGAAGCCACCAACATCAGGATTAGCGACACACCCTGGACCGATCTGGAATCGTACCAGCTATTCGCTACCTGCTCCTCTTTCAGCGGCATCGCAAGTCTGTGTCTGGCCTTGTCGCACATTTCCTGGGTCCCAGATCCGAAAAAATCCGTCATCGTTTACGTGGCAGGAGCCACCGAGGACACCTTGCGGTATTTCCAGGACATACACTTGCGTTTCCTGTTCCTGCAGTATCCAAGCATTCGTAACTTGGACTTACACTTCATTGGAAGAACCCTTGGGCACATCGGACAAGTAGAGATAAGCTTCAGCGACAAGAACTGTGAACAAACCGTGGTTAAGCACTTTTACCCCCTGACGTTTTCACAATATTCCAGCATTCTAAATGTGGATCCCACCTTATTTCTTATCCTGCAACCCGATTTCTTCGGCGCTGGTGAAGTGGCCCAGAGAATGGCTAGCTTAGTGCAAAATAAGGTTCCGTTGGACCTTGAATGGAAGTCTTGCTTGTCAAGTATTATTCGATCCTTTGGTATTCCCATTTGCTATACTTCGGTCTCAAAGGCTCAGGCAATGGCCGATTTCGCGGCTATAAACCAGTCCGCTAAGAAAAACAATATTGCCATCGAGCGAGTGTACAATATAATGGACAATCCCTATCGCGAAATATTACCACTGCATAATCCTGCTCCCGAAGATACTGAGAAGATTGTGTATGCCAATAACTACCTACAGGTTATTTTCACCAGCAACAAAAGGCACTAATACCAAAGACTATATGACGATTAGTTTAGTTCACAGAATACCTTTGACCATATTGACTTACGATATTAAGCAGGTGCTCGACACATTTAGTAAGTTACCTTATTACTGCTACAAGTATAAAATGATATGAATACAAACTAACCAAGGCTGTAGAATAACTACAATAAGTTTACATTATCGAGAACAGTATTCAGTTTTGAACGCGGCTTAGAATCTCACCCTTTAATTTAAAAGTGTTTATCCATTTACATTTTTGGTAATTCTTTTAGAATAAATTGTTTAACTAGTTTATAGCCTACAATTGTATTAAGTATAAATGCTCAGTTTTCAATGCAGCCACTTAACTCTACGAGGAAAACGGATATAATTACTGCAGAAAGATTGGTTTCAAGATCTGGAAGCTTTGATCTAGAATGTCTTCTTGGAAATGACAACAATTAAATCGATTAACCAATAGAACGACTGGTGGAGATCTCCCTCGCACAAGTACGGTGCCTTGGTCCACGACTCCACGCGGAAGCCGCAGCTCTCCAGCAGCTCCATAAACCTGGCTGCCTCCTCCTCGAACGACGCCTGCCGCCCGTTGTTCTCCAGAAGCGGGCGCAGGGGCAGATGCGAGGTGTTCGTCTCCACATAGTGCATGTAGGGAAGTACTAAGGCCACAACGGCTCGACCATTGGGAGCGAGTGCCAGGTGAATGTCCTCGAGCAGCTTGAAGGAATCGAAACACCGGTCCAGTACGTTGAGGCACAGAATCAACTCCAGGTTCTGCAGACCGTCTATCTCGGTGATTACGTTGAAGTTCAGCTTCTTCAGCCGGTCGCGCATGGTCCAACTGGCTTCAGTGGCGAAGACCCGCAGCCCTGCACTTCCGCTCAGCTCGGAAACGGTGTTGGCCACTCGCAGCGAAATCTCACCGTCCCCGGCTCCAATGTCCAGTAACGTGACCTACGATATGGGAGGTGAGTAGTGGTCGAGAGCAAAGGCTTCTTAGCTTACAGGTTCTTGGCCGCTGGCAGGCTGAAAGCCGCCTGCTACCAGCAGCTTGCGAAACTGCTCCTCGGACAGTATGAACATGGAACCGCGCTTCAGGAACCCGTTGATATCCGTCTGGGTCATGAAGAACTGCAGGATTGACCGCGCCAGTGCGTGCCACAAGTGGGTCCAGATGTTCGCCGAAAGCGCCTTGGTGCGCTCTAGCCAGCTCACCGTGGTGGCATCCGGCTCGAGCGGCACGAACTTGGCCTGGAATCTTGGCGGCAGCTCCTGGTTTAGGCAGTACCACTGAAATTCACACATATTGTAGGGAAATTCGTAGCTTATTTTGGAAATGCGGGATACCTTTCGGGTGTCTATGTCCTCCAGAGAGTTGTCGTTGTGGAATTTCGCGTGGATTACCCTGGCCAGGGTGCCGCGGGGTCGATAAACAGCCATGATAACGGAGTTAATTTATAATTGTGCTTTATTTACATTTTCTTATGTTGTGTGTTTCAGATTAATTTTGCCATCATTTTTCCCGTTTGAAGAACTGGAGTACGGTATTTTTCAGGGCTGGATTCTGGTGTCTTGCAGAGTTGAAAAGGTCTATCGATAAGAAGGCGTGACCAGCTCCATAAAAGTTCAAATTTCTTTAAATAGAACATTAAATTATTAAATGTATTATTTCAGTGCTTATTTTTAAGTATTAAAGGATTTAATTAATGTGTACTTGCATAAAATAAAAACAATTTAAATATCTTCAGATCTCTATTGAATTATCCTCTTTTCAAACCCATATCTTTTCTGACAATTTCGACGCCTGTACGATAACATTAGGGCGTGATGCACGTTCACATTTTATTTAGCTGTCGAGTAATGTATACAAAATAAGCGGCGGCTATTTTTTGTTATTTTAATGAAACGCATCAATCCGCGATGAACACGAACGTTGTTGTGAGCATGGAGGAGAAGGCGGTGGCCGACGACCTGCCGTACTTCCCGGAGAAGTTTCCGGGCAAGGTGTGCTGTTTATGCAATCTTGGCGAGAAGAGTGCCTTGGGGCAGGGCGAGATTCTCCAACTAAAGGCGCCCGCACCCGCTGAGATCAAGGATAAATATCCGACTGATCGGCTGAGGGAGGACGGATCCAGACTGCTCTACGGGCCCAAACAGGCCGCTTCTAGTTCAGGCGAGTGCCACTACGAGCTGGACAAGATTGGACAGCCGGAAGTGGTGCATCCAGCCGAGTTTCTGGACGAGGGGTTCGTCTACGTCCACCGCATGTGTATAATGTGGTCGCTGCGCAAGAGCCAGATAAGCGATGCCGATGCCGCGTACTTTGCCACCCACTTTGCGGAGTTCCTGGAGCAGAAGTGCAACTTTTGCGGCCGCTTCGGGGCCTCCATTAACTGCAAGATGAACTGCCGGCAGGTGCACCATTGGCCGTGTGCTGCCGCTGCGGGCTGCCTTCTGATCCTGGAGAGCTTTACGGTCTTCTGCACGGAGCATTTGAGCCAGGTGCCTGTGATATGTAAGTGATTTTTGGGAAGTAAACTCTGCCAGAAACTAATGGCCTGAATTACAGGCAGCGACAATAATGTGGAGTGTCTGTCCTGCTCCTCGCTGGGGGATCTGTCAAAGCTGATCATGTGTAGTACCTGCGGAGATCACTTTCATTCAACCTGCATTGGTCTGGCCAATTTGCCCGGTAACTACTGTCAAGTACCATCGATTTTGGTTAGTAACATGTCTAATGCTTCCTTAGATACCCGTTCCGGGTGGAACTGCGCCCGTTGCACCAAATGCCAGATTTGCAGGCAGCAAGACTCGAACGACACCAAGTACGTTAAATGTGAGCAATGTCAGAAGATTTACCACGCCTCCTGCCTTCGCCCAGTTATCTCAGCCATTCCAAAATATGGCTGGAAGTGCAATGTGAGCAAACATTGACTGAAATTAAGTGTTATCCAGTACTTATTATACTCTTTCCAGCGATGCCGCGTCTGCACGGATTGTGGGTCAAGAACTCCTGGTGGCGGCAGTTCCTCCCGCTGGCATAGCCACTATACAATCTGCGATTCGTGTTATCAGCAGCGGAACAAGGGGTTTTCCTGCCCGATTTGCCAGAAAGCATACAGGGCAGCCTCGCACAAAGAAATGGTCAAGTGCAGCTGGTGCAACAAGTACGTTTCACTCGCTTCTGCCTGATTAGCCATGCTTATCCAATTCTTATATCATTCTCCATGGATTCCTTCCAGATTTGTGCACAGTACGTGTGACGAAGAGGCGGATCTAACGGCTTACCACAAGAAGAAGGAGCAGAACCCAGACTACGACTACGTGTGTCCGAATTGCAAGAGTAATTCGTCGGGTCCGGGGTCATCCCAACAGGCAATCGACTCGATCGTGTTGTCCGCCATGGATTCGTTGTCCGAGCAACTAAGCCTTAAGGAAATCGAGCTTGACCCGCTGGAGGGCAAACCAACAATGGATCCATCAAGCGATGAGCTCCACAAGCTACCCACCGGCAAGAAAAAAGTGTGCCTTACAAGTGTTCGCGGTAGAAGCGGAAAGTTCGTCCTACACCGCATTGGTGTAATGTCTCAAATCAACAAGAAGCGCAGCACACGAGGCAAGGGACGAGGCCAGCTTCCGCCTAACATCTCGAGCGATCGCGGCCCGAGTCGAAGCATGGAAACTGATCTGACCAGCGACAAAAAGCTGCTGCTCTGCTCGGCGCGCGACAAGTTCATCCAAGCGCAAGACATCTGCGTAATGTGCGGCTCGCTGGGCATTGAAAGCGATTCCGTGATGATCACCTGCGCACAGTGCGGCCAATGCTATCATCCGTACTGCGCCGGCGTAAAGCCTTCGCGGGGCATCCTGCAGAAGGGTTGGCGATGCCTGGATTGCACGGTGTGCGAGGGATGTGGCAAGAAGAACGACGAAGCCCGCCTTCTCCTGTGCGACGAGTGCGACATTTCTTACCACATTTACTGTGTGAATCCTCCGCTGGAAACCGTGCCCACGGGCAACTGGAAGTGCTCCTTCTGTACACTGTGTCAGAAATGCGGTCGCAATCCCACCGAGAAGAGCGAGTTCGGGGACTCGAACATGCTCGAGTGCCCGTCCTGCACCAGCCAATCCTCATGCCCCGTGTGCAAAGTCTCCTACAGCAACGGCGAGATGATCATCCAGTGCGAGCACTGTGAGCTGTGGGCGCACTTTCACTGCGACACCGTCAATGCTCAGCTGACCATTGACCACTACGACAACAATGTGTACAAGTGCTTCAAGTGCCGCTGCTCCACGAGAAGCACCAACTCGCTGACGGATGCCAAGTTCAGTAACGAGGATTCGCTGGCTATAACTCCCCAGGGCAGCAAAGCATTTGTGCACATCACAGCCACCTCCGGTCCGTCTTTCGATGCCAAAAGCGGCGCCGAGCGAAATCATCTCACCTTATCCAGCGATTTGCCCGAAGCTGCCCCTGAAGCGCTCCACTGGATTGACGGAGTGTGCCTGAGCGAGAGCGGATTGGGCATGATCAAGTCGTTGTCTACGGAGATCAAACGCAAGCGCAAAATGCGACAAACCATCGGCAATGGCAAGGATGGACAATTGGAGGGCGGCGCCGAGGAGGCGCTGGAAAAGTACAAAGACGGCATGGTCTGGGATGGGACGGAGAATGCTCTTCCCGAAGGTTTCACCATCTCCACCAACGACGAGGGAGTGCACATTTTACGCAAAAAGCGACAGCGCAATCTGCAGAAGCTTGGCATTGGTGGATTCTCCGTGCGCAACCGAGGTCTCAAGAAGGACAGCGAGGAGACGACGGCTGTTGACCAACTAAATTCCCTTATGCCCATGGACAAAAAAAAGAAAATCATACGCAAGAAGCAAAAGAACAAGCTGATTGAAGCCTATCCCGTGTACTTGCAAGAGGCATTCTTCGGAAAACCTCTGTTGGAAGGTGGAGAGCTTGTCATGGCCGAGTCAGATTCCTCTGACGAAATCGATGCATCCATGAAGGTGTACTTCACACGGCCTGAGGACAAGTGTCCTGCCAACCAGGACTCGTTGGCAGTGAGCAAGAGTCCAGCGAAGACTCTAAAAAAAGTCAAATCGGAGTTGAAAACTGAGAACAAAACTGTTTTCATTGAGCAAACGCCAATGGGAACCCAGAATAAAAACGGAACGACACCAGTTTCTAACGTTTTTGGTAGTTGTTTAACCACCTCTGACTACTTCTTTCCAAGTATATATCGTTTATATTTTTGCAGATCCCCTGCAAGCGGAGATTTATACCACTGTCGCCGCTAACAGGCATCCTTTGGATACTTTGGCTTCGCCCAATGTCCCAGAATTGGACATGGCTAACTCTGTTAATACGGTGTCATCGGCTGAAGTTATAGAAAAACCAATGCGGTGAGCCTCATGTCTATATGCCAGTTTATTCCTAGGTTATAAATATGTTTTTTCTCACAGGGAATCACCTGCGGTCTTGGTGGACAGTTTCATGGTTCCCAACCAGTTGCCACAGGATCAGAAGTTTCACAATCAGCTATATCTGGGTGGAAATATTTCGGTTAATCCCGCTCAACAGCTGCAGTTCCGACAACAGGCGCCACAAAATGCCAATAAGCAGAATATGCAAACTATAATGAGCCAAGTCGTTTTGCAAACCGAAAAGAGGCCAGAGGAGGAGCAAAAGGTTGTGGAGCCCGTGACGGAAACCCTGAACGCTGGCACTCAAAAGACGGCGGAGAAAATGCGCAAGGATGAGGGTAGGGATGCATTTTAATAGCGTAGGACTCAAATACTCATTACTCATTATTTGTATTGCAGATCTTGGGCTCATGGCCACCATTTCGGCAGTGCTGTATGCCAACACGGAGCATCCCAACCTGAAGGAGCTGTTTCCGATTTGGAATGACCGCTGCAAGCAGATTCTAAAGCGGTGGCGTTCGCTGTGCAACGAGAAGAAGGCGCCGTTCTTGCAGAAGGCCAAGGACAACCGCTCAGCACTGCGCCAGAGACGAGAACAAAACAAACTACCTATGCCACCAAAACCACAGAAGCAGGAGGACATGGGAAGAGTGTGGAAGCAACCGCCCAAGCTGAAGGAAGACCAGCCAAACATGTTTGTCACGTACAGTAAGTGCTGCAGCTTAAGTATTGTTTCAGTTGCTATAGGCTAAATTTCTTCCAGATGGAAATGCCTACGACATGGCCAACTATGTTGGTGGCCCGGCGCAGGCGACGTCCAACAACCCCAACCCCCATCATGTGATGCCGAACGTTAACGACAATCTAGTGATTAAAACCACGATGCAAAGGACTCAGGTGCACACAACAGCAGCCAGCACCTTGAAAATGACCACCGTGGATAATCGGCTAGAGCTGAACACGGTGTACGGCACGGAACCCATTGGAGACAAGAAGCTCAGGAACCTGCTGCAGAAGAACAGCACGGAGCCAATGCTCATGGGGGCCAACTCGGACTTGTTCCTCGGAAACGATGTAATGCGGCTGGGAATGATGCAGAATACTCCCATCACGCAGAACAATCCCATGTTGAGCATAAGTGGAAAATCTCAGCCATCTGAAGGCAGGGCCTTGGAGCAGGATGTGAAGATGAACGA